CCATGGTAACTGATGCGGTAGAGCTAACCTAGTCGGGAGCAGGTTATGTTCAGAGTTTAGGATTTAAATCGGCTGGATATTCAATCAATAATATTAATTTCGCTTTGATTTGGCCAAAAATTAAAGTAATATCCTGCTTTAATGTGCTGCTGTCAGTTGGAAATAAGCGGCTGTATCTGTAAAATATTATATATTAACACGTTTAAGTTTTCTACCAGCGTTCCTGTCTTGCACCATTTGGAGTAGCGGTGCTTTTTACCGTCATAATTTTCTATATTCCTCATTGTTCTCCATTAAAACAACTTGTTAACTGAAGTAGTTGCACATCATTTCACTTAGTACAGAATAAGAGTCACGTGACGCGTTAAAGGCCTCCTTTTACGTAAACAGACTTTGAAGCAGAAAGCCTGAGTTGACAAAGAAAGTTGATAACCACCTTCGCGACACCCGTAGTCTCTGACTGGGGCTTTTGTTTTTGTCGAGCCGGCTTACACAAAGAAAGCCTGGCTATGTGAAACTTGCTTCTGGTTAAACCCTGCCATCTACGTTATGTTGGGTAAGGTGTGAAAACACAAAGGTGTTCACAGGAGACCTTTAGCTTCTGCTTCTAAAAATAACACATTAAACCAAATAGGATATTGTTGTAGGGCCTTTCTCCTTATTAAATTACCACCAGTGATTGTCCAATCAATAGGAATTTGATCAGAGGAGAGCATATCAACCAGCGAATTGACCAGCTGACCTGGACACTACAGCACCGAGAATCCACACATAAAACGTTGCAGATTGTTTTTTCCCTGCGTGGCTTATGGCATTAGCCAGGTGAAGGCGGTTAGGGTGTTTTCTCATTTCAGCTCCTTTGACGCTAATTGAAGGCTGGAGTGAGCAGATCAAGCGCTTGAATAACACTTGCACATTGCTCAGATCTCCCTTTTCCCAGGTAGAGTTCATGTCAAGGTCTGTTGTCTTAGACATGGGTGAAATTATGATTCAGCAGTTGGTGGTAGGTGCTTGAATGAAGCTCATTGTTGGCAACAACTGTGTCATCAGAGGCGTCACAGGGCTTTACAGTAGTGATCTGTAACACCTTTGTTCTGTGTCGGGGTGTGCGCTCTGTCCGGCCTCTCATCCGGCTTCAAAAACTAACCACAAGGCTACAGACGGGTCTCTGATCGACACAAGAAAGAGGAAGGCCGGGCTGTGTGGGTCCCGTATGACAAACATGTCTACGCGCTGTTGAAACACACACAGACACACAATCCCATCATCTCTTCTGAAAGCAGACAGAGGTCATAAAAACACACAGCACTGTGATTCAACCAGCAGTCTTGCTCGCTGTCTCTCCTTTCTGTTTTTCTGGACCAAGGAGTGGCAATGGCATGAAATGTGTTGATGGAGCCAAGTGCCTGGCAGCCCACCAGGTTGTAAAAATTCAATAAGTGGAGTAACGGGACTCTAAGGAATCTTTTACTCTTTCTCATGTGGTTGGAGGTTTTCACAGCTGGGGTGCCCTGGCTTCACGGTCTGCTCAGCAGTCCGGCACTCATTTCTCCCCTCCCTCCCCCTTCCTCTCGCTTTTCTCTCATGAGTAAGCAACCATTAACCTTTAGATCCATTATGTGG